CATACACACACACGCCACAAAAAACAAATCAAAACAAGTAAAGAAGAGAAGAAAAGAATCAAAAACACATAAAATTAAAGTAGAAAAAGAAGAGACTGCAAAATACCACCAAGATGTGCCTCACAGCAGCACCTGATTAGTGGAAACTGTGGGATGTATGATCTGATTGGTTACACGTACACATGCTATTCATATGTGTGACCATAACCCAGTAGAGGGCCACAGGAAATTATACAGGTGATGGTCAAGAACAGGCACGGAAAAGTTCCCAAGTTCACAATATTTATTATTCTGCAGCAAGATAAACAGCGTGTTTAAGAAACAACTTTTTTTAAATAAACTCTAAGCAAGAGCACGACAAGACGGCTGGGCGCGGCCGCAGACACGAGGGTCCGACAGGACAGAGCACTCACCTCACTCCGTGCCCAACACATACACACACACGCCAAAACAATCAAAACGTGAGGGGATCAACCATAAATTGTGAAGGACGTGCAAAATTACCACCAAGCACACAGTTAAAGGGGTGTGAATTTGGGGTGAGAAACTTCGGACACCGATCCCTCCACCGTCCAAGCGGCCACACTATCACCGGCCTTGCAGTACTCGCGCAAAGAAAAGAGAACACAGCAACAAGTTAAAAACCGTACACAAACAACTGTTGCAATAAATATTAAAAACCCTTGGGGGAAAATTAAAGGAGTTAAATGCCACAGAGAGCTAATATAACAGAGGGACTAAAGAACTAACAGAAATCATCTAATGAAACAAAAAACGAAATAATGCCAAAAAATGCAAAATAAACTATAACGAGTGAAACAAAACTAGTTGAACTAGTTAAACAAAACAATATAACAAAACAAAACAGCAGTGGCAGTCTGTCTATAATAAAAGAGAACATAAGCCAATTAAATAACAATTCTGCCAAACCAATAATAAAAATGGATAAACAAAGAGAGGTGGCGTATTACCTCGACACAATTCACTCTACATGTGGTTCAACATGCGGGATACCCAGGAAGCAGGACCTACAGCAGGACAAACCATGCAGAGGGTAAGCCACACAATCAGAAAACAAATGTCTCAGAAGGAATTAAAAAAAAAAACCCTACCACACAATATGTGTACCAAACAGTATACCAGGGACCATGAGGAGGCAGCAGCAGAGAGAAAGCCGGTCTGCCGGTTTAAATACACTAATAAATGAGGAAGTGGGTAGAGCTATCCTGCTATCTAATCCTACGGTGGCCTGGGAGGGACATTCGCTACCGGTCACATATGGTAGTTACTTAGCTTAGCAGTTAGCGATGGCTTCTCTCTCTCTCTCTCTTGATCGGTGTTTTTGAAACTTCAGTGTAGAGGAGTGTGATGTCACGATGTCTGCTGTCAGGGTCGAAGAGTGAGCTCCTAGCCGCCATGCAAACTGGTAAAAGGGATCTGTCACATCTCATTTCCGGGTTGGTGCTACTATAAAAGTGTCGGAGCCACCGATCTGTTAATATGTGTTTTTAAAAACTAATTTCAAGTCTGCATTTACTCTTTCATCCCCGAGTTCAGTGGAGCCGTGGTGGTTTTACAGCAGGTCTGGTCTGGACAGGTGTGTTTACAGTGTCTGTGCTCTGAAAGACGTTACGGCATGAAAGGGGTGAAAATTAGCGGTTTGCGTTTACATCAATGCCGATGGAAGCCAGAGCCGCGTTTACTGCAGTCATTTGACCCGGATGTGAATGCCGATCGCACCCTTTTCCATCGCTCAAAAAAGCCCGAAAAAATAGCGTTTTTTTGACCAGTGGAAAGGGGGCTTTACTTTAGACACACAGCTTTGCTCGCTAACCGGAGCTTCTCTAGTATGTGGCCGTCAGTGTACTAGACAGAGCCGAGTCGCTCTTCTCGGGTAAAGTCTGGTTTCTCCGTCTCCCACCTCTTCCGTGTTTTCAGGTTGACGGCAATTTCCCTCAGCTGCCGATTGGATGCGGCGGCTTCGTTCTGGTAAAAAAAAACAATGATCAAAACACAGCAATAATACAAACAAAATCATTAGAAATAAAATCATGCAAATAAATAAAACCAAAAAAAAAATATAAAAGCATGCATGTAAACTGTGTGTTGGAGCCAATGTGGCAAATTAATGTTATATTTTCCAACTTGATTTATTTTTTGTTTGTATTTCTTTATTGTTTAAAATAATATTTTGAATTATGGGGTAAGTTGGATATTGTGCAGCAGGTGGCTCCACCTGAGTGTGGAGCGGAAGTGCTTCTCTATATTTGGAGTACGGCCCGTGAATGAGGGAGGTGTGGGTGTTTGCGTTTTCACATTGTTGTTTTGCATCATCTTTGGAAATTGATAATTTATGGAACGTTCGGGTTCATGTGGCACTCGTGGAATAATAAATGCACGTTTTGTAAGTACAACGAACTGTGGGATCTTTTATTCGTGTGAAGTACGACACGTCCACTTGGTGTAAAGCCGGTTGCAGCCACCTCAATGGCTTGTAGACACCTTTTTTGGATCCTGGAATCAAGCCATACACTGTGGAATCAATAAATAAGCATAAAATCCACTCCCGCCTCGTCAGCACCATAGACGGCGGCTCTTGCGGTGGCGAGCGGGTTCCCTCTCTCCTTCAGACGGGAGGAATGGAACGCGCTCGCGGTACCACCCTGGGTTTTGAGCACCATTTAGCGGGGGGTAAAGACTTCAGTTTGCCGTCCTCCCTCCCCGGTTCTCTGGCGTGTCCGGACTCGGTGTCTTTCAGAGCGCGCCTCTCTGCGGAGCGAATACAGATTTTCAGAGCGTGTCTGGCACTCTTTCATCCAAATCAGTTCAATTCAGATCGTGTCTTCGACTACTGGGACTGATGTGCTTCTGCCATCCTCGCAATCCGTCTCGGTCGCCTCCACATGAGGGCATTCCAGCGTTGGGTGGCTTCCCACAGACTGGATCCCGTGCGTCATGGCGCGCGGAGAGTGTTGGTCACATCGGAATGCGTTATGGCGCTCCGTCACTGGACAGTGCCACATTTACTGACCCGAGGCATGCCCGGTGGCTTAACCTCGCCAACCTGTCCCGGTTCCCCCTTCTCCTGTGTAGCGGAAGACCTTTGTTCAGGCTTCTCCTCAGGTTCCGCCTTTCAATATCCCTAAACAGCCAAAATTAACATTAGATTAAAATGTAATTTAACTAAATTAAATTAAATGTCTGTGAGCTGCCTCTCAGATGCTCTTTCTATATGCAGTGAGTACGAGAGAACCCAGGACCCAGCTTCAATGCAGAAAATACCGGTCATCTCTGACTTATGCCTCCATGTTCAATGTTGCGCGGTCCAGGCCACGGGGAAAGTACTGGGAACCATGGTCTTACAGGAACTCGCGCGGTGGCTTAACCTCGCCAACCTGTCAGAAAAAGACTCCCTCTCAAAGTCCCGGTTCCCCCCTCTCCTGTGCAGCAGAATACCGGTCATTTCTGACTTATGCCTCCGTGTTCAACGTCCAGGCTGCTTCTCAGGTGCCGCCTTTCAAAATCCCTAAACAGCCAAAATTAAAATTAAAAATAAAAATTAAATTAAATTAAATTAAATATAATGTCTGTGATTGTTTGGTGCCCACACCGATTATCCCCCCCAAGCGAAAAGCTACGGAGTTTTCCGGGAGCCCATGATCACACGCCCAGGACTGACCACTTGAGGACACACAGCAAAANC